GCATCATTACTTCGTTTAGGTGGCTCATTAAATAAATTGTCGTATGGAGCTCGCATTCATTTGCTTTCGGTCACTTAGAAAAAGCTACAAAAAGGTGAATTAATGGGGTCCTCCGGTATGTAGCCCCTGTTGCATATTTCGTTTATTACTTGTGTGATATTGTCGATGCCGAAGTCGTCTAAGGCTGAGAACATTTCTGTTACAATCCCTTTTTATCTTCCATCAGCATGGCTGATGCTAACCATCACAAGATTTAATCGTTTCGTTTCTTGGACTAACGTTTTCAGCTGACATGAAATGGAAAGAGTATATTGGATTAATATAACATGTAAAATGACCAAGGTGAGAACAATTATTCGAACGAACTAAAGTATATCTAAGCAGCTTGTCACCGGGTTGTGATAATCGAATCACTTCAGCAGATCATTGTTCTTTAGCAGACCATCGATGTGACCCAGAATTATGTTTTTGGATTTGATTATGTAAAGTTGAATGGATAACTATCATAACTGCGTCGGGTGTTCGAACCACGCAATCTCCACACTTGCATCCTTGTGTCAGATACATCTTTGGAAATACCTACGATATTGTAAATATTATGAATATGGAAGTTTGGCATATGGCAACATCTAGCAAAACACAATGGACGGCTGAAGAGAGCCGGAGTGTAGTTGGTCGAAACTTTGGGTCTATAATAACGTCTACAATAATCAAGATGAGAGCAATTATTCGAATAAATTAAAATCTATCGGGGCACTTTGTCACTAGGTACTGGTTATTGAAATACGTTCACCTCTTCTCCTCCTTCCAGCTATAGGTTAAACAGTAAAACTTTGTATAAAAAAAAAATAAAACAATAACTATGTTATATAACTATATTCCTTAGGATATGGTACGGTATATTTCAATGTTCTTGGCCCATTTCGTCGCATCTGCGCTTGTGCAAACGCAAATCATCTTCTAGAAAATATTAGATAGATTACGACTCTCCTTATCGTACACTTGGCTTAATTCCATATCTCGTTGAATCACCGGCTCTCGTACGATTACCAAAGTTAAACGACGTCGAATCTGGTCAGTGCCTAGATGGGTGACCGCTTGAGTATACCAGGTGATGTAAGCTTGTATGTGCGCTTGGTTGAATGATTGATTTTGCTTAGCGGAATATCAACACCACTATGGGTCATTTAATGCGAGAATCTAAATATTTTGAACACAATTTCATGGCTTCAACTAAATATATTTTGAACGCAATAGTATGCCCTCAACTACAGATAAAATGGATTATTGGTCATTTTGCTATAAAATGTAATGTTAGTAATTCTGCTATAAAATGTATTGTTTGTAACTTTACTATAAATATGTATTTTTTCTTATCTTACAATAATATATATTTTTGATATTTTATATAAACATATATTGTTGGTATTTTCTAATATAAATACGTCTTGTTGGTGTCTTTTTCATATAAATATGTCTTGTTGGTATCTTAATATATATATATATATATATATATATATATATATATATATTACAATGTTTAAGGAACACCAGAATGGGTATCGTAATCAAATGATTACCAGCTTTTCTCATTACATAACAGATCATTATGACTATTTAGTGAATTATAGATAGATAGATAGATAGATAGATAGATAGATAGATAGATAGATATAATTATTATATAATGAAAAACGAATACTAAATCCATAGGTGATATTTATTTCATTGAAGACTATAAAAAACGGCTTCAAATCCTCAGACCTGTAAAGCAAATGTGAATGAAAAAACAAACTCCAGGTTTAAACATTAAGAATAGTGATTACCTATTGAGAGAGTGGGTGAAAGAAAGATGTAAATCTTTCATCGTGTAGGAAGTAGGGAAGAAAATGGTGTTTATACATGAGTTGACGGTGAGAACAAAAGAGTTCGTCTCAGTCGTATTAACTGACATTAGGACACATGGTCAGCTTTAAATAGCTATGTCTTGAGTAGAAAAATCAAATGGACTCAGCATAAGGACAATAGGAATTTTATAAAAGATTTCTTGCTGAAAATGCTGTTTATACAGACATTTTAGAATTAGATAACTTCTATTCCAAATTATTCTTCTCTTTCTGTAGGGTGAGTTTTTTGGCTTGAGTAAATGGATGGCGGAGAGATAAAAAAAAAGAGATAAAATTTATAAAGGACAGGAAATTGTAGAGCTCCATGATCGCAAACCTTTTGAAAGGACACTTTACGTAGAAGAAGTGCGGAAAGTTAACGGCTTGATTATGTGATTGCTGTCCGTTCTAGCTATATATGCTACCCATTTTTCTTGTTGCTACTATTGGAAGTCATCAAGTAATGTTCACTTATGTCGTAGCCCCAGATTATAGTCTGATGTAGTACCGTCGTCTTTAAGAGGTCTAAGTGCTATTCATGTGAACGTATTTTTTAATCATTGGTCTGATATATACAGCTAATACTTTAGCAATTTACTAAGCGTTGTTTAGATGTGGCACAATGCCGAGCCTATTGAGGGCCTAATAACAATTGTACTCACTACTCAGTCGTAATCGATTTAACATGTTAATCATTATACTACCCGTCCTGGGTATGACGATAAACTACATCCAGCAGCAAGACCTCTGATCAGGAGGTTTTGAAGAGCGTGGAACCACCTCTTATTTGCTGGTGATCCCAAGTACACCCTAACCCGAGGTGGTAGCACCTGTTAGGGTCCCAGCACGTAAGTTAATATAATGGATTCGACTGGAATTCGAACTCGGCTCTCCGATTCCTCAATCCGAGCCGCTATCCATTACTCTTGCATTTAAAACGCGTCCCATCATTATGGGACACCCTGTATTATCTGGAGTAATTCGACGTGTTGTAATAGTTAGCTTACTAAATCGATTACGCCTGAATAGTGATTCCGATTCTTACTGAGCGTTGTGCTACATTTATAATCAAATATACTATAGGACACTTTAGACATTTCTGAACGAGTTGCGTGTCATTTATGCACTAATTTAATCGGGATAATATAATTACCAAGGGCTTTTGTGGGGGTACGTTGGAGTAATCTATAGCCACACGGACTGAGGGATCGGACGGAGGTCGGAGTTCGAATTCCAGTCGGGTTCGTTACATTCACTTACGTGCAAATACCCTTGGGAAAGTTGTGAATCCATTTATTCTCTTCCACCAGCTATGACGGACTGGCTCCTACTGATTTGGGTGGCTCTTATTGAAAATCAAATCTGAATTCTAAACCTCCAACTATGGATTAAACTCGCAAGTGGCAAGCGTGGTGTGTACGACTACACTCCTAAAGATATTGTCAACCAGGGAAGGTTTCCTCCAAGCAGTGGGAAAGTTCTGGATCTATTCTAATGATCTCTCTTCCCTGGTAACTTTTATAGCCACAACTTTTCGCCCGTCGTAACTTTGACCTTCTTCAGATGTGTATAGTATTCAGTAATCTTTGTTGAATTAAGTGGAATTGACAAAATTCTCAATAACAATACGAAGAACAGATCAAAATAATACAAAACAAGACAATACAATATAAGGCAAAGTAAAGCAACTATAAGACAATAACAAAGTAAAACGTTCGCAAAATAGAAATAATGTTCACACGCAAAAGGGATACAGTCAAATGGTTACAGACTTATGACCTCAAAGAAAGCAAAACATGCGTGGGTAAGACTGATAATTGCATATTTTTATTAGCGCGGAAGAAATTATGATTTGTTTAGAAATTTGGGGAGGGGAGATATTCAGCAGTAATTACCCGAGATTGAAACCAACAGCCTAAAATATTGGGGGTATAAAAACCAATATGAGAATACACATGTCTGAATAGATAACGATCACAAATCCCGTAACTCGTTAGGATCGTAAGCGCACCACACGCACTGCAGCAGCAGCAGATGGTGTGTCTTGGGCAAGATAGCTTGATGGGACCCAATTATCTCCAGGATGGTTTAAATTCCTAGTTTTTCCTCTTTTAGACCGGCTGCTACTCTAAGCTATATAACCCAATCTGTCCTGCTACTTAAACAAAGCTGGGGAGAGAAAAGATGGATTCATACCTTTTTCCCATAGTATATGAATTCGACTGGTATTCGAACTCGGCTCTTCAGTTCTCCAATCCGAGCCGTAATCCATCAAGTCTTCCTACCTATTCAGTGTATAATAATGGTAATTCGTAATAATTGTAATTTTTAATCTCAGAAATGCCTATAGAAACATTTTTCAAGGCATGTAGTGCCTTTCAACTGGGAATTCTAGCTTAATACAATCTTCTCACTAGTCTACTATAGTTATCCTTCAGAAATGTTGATGTGTGAGTCGGGTTCTCGTGGAAAGAGAAATTGGCGGGCTGATTTTAAATACCGGTTCGATTTAATGCCGTTGTGAAAGGCACGAGTCAATTTCTTCTAAAAAACTATAGATTAAATTGCAAAGCAGATGGAATTAAAAACCGTGGGAGACGCAAATGAAACAACTCTATTATCTCTCTCAAGTAGCTGTCGGCACCCACTCACATCGGAATTGTCATTCTCTCACCATATTCCTTTTTTTCCCGACCATCATAGCTGTGATGGCTGTGAATCAAATAGAGTTTGACGAGGCTATTCGCGTGAATTTGAATTTGGTGGACAGTTCTGCGCGGTGGAGAAACCCAAACACCTGGTCAGAAGTGGATTGAGACAGGCGAGATCTGGCAAACTTGGTTTCATCGGACTGTCGGATGCTTGGTCTTTCAAGGTCCGCTTGGGTTACGTCAGCCCTACTTGGCGCTACCCTCTTCCGCCGCTTTGTTGAGATCGTGTAGGTCGTTGTTTATTCTGCAGTTAGGGTCTTCGGGGTTAGCTATTCACAGATAATAAGGAAACGGGATCTGTTGAGAGCCACGATCGTCTACGTCCTGAAAGAATATGCCATTAAAAATATCGATTATTTATATCTATACGTCTTGGCGCCATAGCCTGCTTTATAAGTAAGGCTTACGGCCACATCAGGTTGAAACACCGCTTCCCTTACGATCGCCGAAGTTAAGCAACATTGAGCTTGGTCAGTATCTCGGTGGCCACTTAGGAATACCAGGTGCTCTAAGCTTCGATATGCGGGTAGTGTAATGAATAATGGCTCGGAATTCTTAATCGAAGAACTGAGTTCAAATTCCCGTAGGGTTATATTCACTTATGCGTAAATACCATTGAGAAAGGTTTGAATTCACCTCTACTCCTCCCAACTATGGGTTAGTTAGTAAGATTTGTATCACAAAACTATTATTATCTCGAAATAATTCTTACATTCTAAAATAGTCTGGCTTTAAATAACTTGCAAAATGTTGATATACCGTAAAACAAAATTAATTAATGATTTATAGAAGAATTTCCTTCCAGGGACACGTGTTAGAGTTCAGGTAAAAGGCTATATGTTGTATCCTGATATTCCTACTTTAACGACTGGGGTAACATCATCTTCCTACTCCACTGACCGATGTGTGGTACGATGATGAGCCATGTAACATGTACTGCAGCCGTAGCAAAGGTGGGTGGCAACAGCAAGGACGAAGGGCTACCCTTATGGGATCAACGGCCACGTGTCTGTAATCAAAGCAAGCCTTCAAGTTATCGGACAATGACAATGGTTTGACTAAAGCAGGTTATCTTGACAGAGCCTATTCCTCTTCGATTTCAATTTTCCTTTTCTTTTTCTGAGAGAGTCGAGTGTAACTTACTTTATTACCCATAGTTGGTAGGGAAAAGACGGGTTCTTGCCTTTCCCAATATCATTTTCTTACGAAAGTGAACGCAACAGACTCGCTTGATATTTGAACCCGGCCCGCCGAGACTAACTTCCGCGTATTACTATCTTTGTCACCATTAATTTTTCTCTTTAACCCACACTTCATATTCTTTCTTTCTTTCTTTCTTTCTTTCTTTTCTTTCTTTCACTACTCCCCTTTTTCTCCTCCTCCTTTTATAACTATCTTACTCTCACTCTTTTATCTTTTATTCTGACGTCATTACTTGTACTTAAATTTTGGTGTTTTTTCTCATTTCTACTCTAAATAAAAGTTTATATTTTTATATATTTATCCGGGTTTGCATCTGTCAGTCCACCCCCACATTCATTTATTCCTTTTCGATGACGTTCAGTCTATATACATTTTTTTTCCAGCAAATTTGGTAAAACAAAAATCAATAGTCGTAAAGATGGAGTAAAAAGAAAGTAAAAGATGGCCGGCCTCTTGGTCACCATGGTGTTGGTGACGTCAACAGTAGCGTCATAAGAATACCCGGATTATCGCTTCATGATTGAAGTTGGCAAAGAGAAAAAAAATATGATTAACCTGATAGGGCAATAGGAGATGGAATACATCAAAACAATGTTTGTGGAATGGAAGATGAAAAGAGATCAAACCTAAAGATATAAAGTCAGGTAATTTTGAAGGAAAATAAAAGACTGGGCGTGATAACGGAGAAAATGACGAGTGAGGACAAAAGGACTCAATAGACAAGATATTTCTTTGAGTAGTCAGGCACAATGCTACAATACTGGGGTACCCTATGAGGATCAAGCTCAATTCATTAGTGCATTTGGTCTTTGAGACGAGGTATGGGAGTGTAGATTAGTGGTTCGATGTTTGATTTTGCACAAATACCAGGAAGAGTCAACAGGATTTTTATATATATATACATACATATATATATATATATATATATATATATATATATATATATATATATAATCGACTCTCCCGTCGAATTCGACGTATGAGGTCAAGCAGATCAGTTTCAGGAAACCGACAGCCCGACACCGGCACATGAGATTTGATTATAGTGGTGAAGGCTTCGTGCAGGACCATCCACACTTTTTGAAGGGACGAATACAGAGGCCTGGTGCACTACGTGCCACAAGATTCCCAAACGACCCTCCACAGGTTTTGAATTCAGAGTTGTTCTTTCTCCTAGACCAGTTGCCATCCAAGGCTTAGAAATCAGTCTGTCCTGCTATTTTACCCATAGCTGGAGGGAGAAGAAGAGGATTCATACCTTTCCAAAGGGTATTAGCACGTAAGTGAATGTAATTGATTCGACTGGAATTCGAACTCGGCTCTGCGATTCCTCAATCCAAGCCGCTATCCATTACTCCACCGTGCCTGCCTGCCTGCCTGCCTGCCTGTCTCTCTCTCTCTCTCTCTCTCTCTCTCTCTTTCTTTCTCTCTCTCTCTCTCTCTCTCTCTCTCTCTCTCTCTCTATATATATATATATATATGGATTCATACTTTTTATTCATATATATATATATATATATATATATATATATATATAGATAGATAGATAGATAGATAGATATATAGATATAAAGCCTGCTAAATATCACACCTTGATAATCACCACTGGATATTAGTGGTTATCTAGAGCGCCGAGTTAATATCTCACCCGTATTCGATGTTCCAAAGATACCATTTGAAAGATATGAATTCATATCTTCTCTCACTTACTCGTATCCTTTGTAATTTACCCCTGCTAGGGTAAAATCGAAATGTAAACTAGGCTCTCTAGCTCTGCTTACCTATAAGGGCAATCCTGAATTAATAAGCGGATAGGCGTTAGGCTAGCGACTCCATCATATAAAAGAATATCTACTTGCTCCATATTCAACAGCATTAGCGTTTAGCGTTATGAATGTGTACCTATGCTCCGCAGGGGAGTCAGCAGGACTTACATATATATACATATAGTTAGTTATCTGCCATTCGTTATACTCGCTTAGGCGATCATGTATCTTTTGATTTCGATACATGACTGATGAAACAGATTTTTTTCCCGCAGTAGGTTGCCATTTCTTTCTGCGGTAGACCAGTTGCCATCCAACGCTTTAGAACCCGATCTGTCCTGCTGTTTACCCAGAGAGTAGAAGACGAGGATTCATACCTTTTCCAAGATTATTAGCACGTAAGTGAATGTAATGGATTCGACTGGAATTCGAACTCGACTCTCCGATTCCTCAATTCGAACCACTATCCATTACTCCACCATTTCCTCATATACATATAAAGCCTGCTAAATATCACACCCCTGGATATTTACTGAGCTTTTCTTAGATCACCCTGTGAGAATCAAAATCACTCCACAGAAGAATGGCCTAATGATAGAAGCTTGCTATCACTCTACAGTAGGTAATTCCTGATAATTCTTAAGTTTGAGTTCGATAGAAAACCATGATACTGAAGCTCATTGAAGAATGTATTATTTACTATTCATCATCTCTAAGACAAAAGCCCTAAAATATGTTAAACCTGTGGACACCCCTGTGGATTAGAGGACCGTAGGCTCCCCACGCTTGTTATTGCTGTTGTGAATTCTATCGAGAGTATTTTTCAGGGAAGAAGTCGCTAGACCTACTCTAAACCGCTTTTGAATTGACAATTTAAAGTTGTCTTTCTAGACTGGTCGAGATTAAGGGACTCTAGGAAGCAGCTCATGGCTGATCTCGAAAGAGAACTTAGATGGCTCTTATAAAAAGGAGGAAGACATCTAGGGAAATATGAGATTAGCAGTAGAGTACCTTGCAGAGGACTAAGTCGTTATTGCCTTAGGGAGGCTATTTTTCGTTCATATTAAATTGCATTTGATTGATTTATTAATTTGTTTTTTTTTATGGTTTATCAACCCCTTGCTGTTGTTTTTAAGCCAAAAACATATTTCTGATTTTATGAGGTAGCTTACAGTACCCAGTGTTCCAAAGCGGTCCCTCATCTAAGCACTAATCAGACTAGATTAAATAACCACAAACCCTTCACATATCACGTATATATATCGTCTTTCTTCAGGATTGTTTGACAAATCATAAAATTGTTTCTTTGTTTTGTTTACAAATTCTTTACAAATAAAGACAAAATGCAGATTGATAATATAACGTGTCGTATATAAAGCCGAATGCGTTAATTGTTGGGTTTTAGTCATATCACTCTGGGGTTGCTGACAGTACCATGTAACATCGTTCTGGGTATGACGATAAACTACATCCGGCAGCAAAGCCTCTGGTCGGAAGATCAGAGGTTTTGAGGAGCTTGGAACCACCTATTAACTGCTATTGTGCCCAAATCCACTCTGAGTTGAAACGGTAGCACCTGTTGGGGTACCAACTATGGCAAATACTGCCCCCCCCACCAAAACAAAAATCAACAGTCATTTTCATAGTAAAATGAACAAAAATATAATTTTAAAACAAAATGACAATCAATGAAACGCTAAAAAGATTTAAATATATTTTTATAAAAAAAATACCAACAATACATTTTATGATCTACAAACTATATATCTAAAAAAACATACTTTTACCCTAAAAGGATAAAATTATGTGCAAAATATTTAGAATCCGGCGTTAAATAACCCATGAAATCTGTTATGCCGCTAAAAAAAAAGTCCACCACTACAAGTCACACGGTCGGGTCATGAGCGACTAAACCGGTTCCCCCACCAGGTTTTTTTCCTAGTGAGGATCGGCGTCCGAATCACATAACAGGATTAAAAGCAAAACCTGTAACAAAACCTCATGTAGGATCAAATGACTATCTGCCAAAATGAGGTAAACTGGGGTCCATACTTATGTGCATAGTCAGTGCACTGATGATACGGCATCGCTGGATAGAGTTGGGTGTAAACAGCAAGGACGAAGGGCTACCCTGATGGGATCAACAGCCACGTGTCTAGGATCAAAGCAAGCCTTCAAGTTATCGGACAATGACAATGCTTTGACCAAGAAAAGAATAGGTTCTGCCAGGACTATTTCCCTATGATACGCTACACATGAAGGAATAAATCCCCGGCTTTCAACCCAGATACGTGGAGGGAACTGATCAGGTGTTCAGCTACACAATGTCCCTCCGACCACACCCAGTTATAGGGGCTAATGTTGATGATGATCTGTTAGTTATATTGGGAAGAGGTCGTGTCATTTCCATGAGCATGCAATAGATACTTGGTCGTGGGATTAAAAATCCTCAATTTTATGTTAAATAATCTTTAGTGGAAACAAAAATATAATTTTGCTTCTCGCTTATCAACGGGGCGGACACACCATGCAACCTGGC